TAAGTGTCGATCGACAGTTACTAAGTGTCGATTGCTAGTAAAAAGAGTAACTTTCCATGTCCCTAATGGGCCACCGTATACAACAGTAAAAATTCATCTTCTGAAATGTCGCCATCCTCGAAACTTGTTAGTAACAATTCACGAACCTTTCTAAAAGTAGCCATCGCTTTTGTATTTATTTCTAAACTTCAACAGGAAAAGGCGAAAACAACCCGCCGTCGCGCGAGCTTTCTTAATGCTATTTTTCGCGCCATTACGACGGCGACCTCACCCCAAACACCCTCGTCGTAGAATCTCGCCGTCGTCGGATCTTAAGCTCACTAACGGCAACAAAGGCTGACCATTTCGTTTGGCATTACCACGAGCTTATTATTGTCATAATTTTGCTGAAATTATACTTATATTAACGACAGTAAAGAGAGCAGAACTTCCAAATTGCATTCTTGTTTTTGTCGCCCGCTATTTTTAATTCCTTCTAGAACTGTCTCTACTTAGGTACCACACGGACCGAAACTTTTGCCTTCTAGGATCTTCCTCCCTCCATATATAAACAGCTCCCCAGAGTGAGCGCCTCAAGGTCTCCTAAGATGGAGGTTCCCTAATTAATGAGCAAAGTCCCGCGGTTCACTCTCTCCCTCACTGGCGTTTGTAAAAATCGTACTTGGCTCCTTGACGTGGAGGAATATAACAAAAGAACATGTTATTTATCCTGATTCGATAGGTGTTTTCTTTTAACTTATTCCCTAATCCTCGGAGCTTAAAGATACAGTCGAACCCTCTTAATACGGACACCTCGTTATTACAGACATTTTTCCTTTGTCCCTGGGGAAAGAAAGCCCTTACATTTTCTCTAAATTCAACCCGCTTGATAAGGACACCCATAAAGGAGGACAACGGACACTTTTTTCTTGCCCAATCAACAAATTTTCATAGAAAGTCAACCTCGCTAGAGCAGACACTTAGGCCTTTCCCGATTGCGCTGAGCACCTTTTGAGCACTTTTTTGAGTTTGGAGCACTATTTTGCATTTTGAGCACCCTTAAGCACTTTTTCGCACTTTTTGTCTTCTAAAACATTTTAAAGCAAAAACTGTGTGTCGCTCGCAACGAGAATCGTGTTCCAGGTCATAAATTTGAATAACTAATGATGTTGTCAAGAATAAAAGACCATTGTCATGGAAAGGCACGTGGACGTATCCTTACTGAGTGTGAGAACAGAAGTTTCTGATTGGCTGATGTATCATACGTGTGTCATCTCAAATTTCTAAATCATCTGATGTCTAGGCTTTGCACTAGTACTGCTGAATTTATTTACAATTCGTAACCGCCTTTAGTTTTTTAAAAATATTATTGTTCTATATTCTATCAACCTTTCGTAACAACCTGTCGAATAACACTACGCAAAATAGATTGTTAATTATTTCAGTAAAAATTGACATATTTACGAAAAGCTAAGAGGTAACTGTTCACAACTTTCAGCACTTTATGAGCACTATTTTGAGATTTTGAGCACTTTTTGAGCACTTTTTAGCCATTTTTGGCAGCACTTTTTTAGGATTTTACGAGCGCAATCGGGAAAGGCCTACAGACACTTCATTACAAGTTATGTGCTGTAGTGGATTTATCCTTTTTTATGGTATGAAAAAAATTCAGTTGACAGCATGTCGATGTTCCCAGCGCTATAGTACACCGGATACGATGATTTGTATACGTCAGTTTCACTGATTATTTTAGCACCAAACGAGTTCAGTAGAGAACCGATACTTGAGTGTTTCCGTGAATTCGGTCCGCGGAATGACGGCTTCGTGATGGTTAGAGATGTTTAATTTGAGGATACTAATGTCCTCTTTTATTTCTTCAGCATTTAGTTCCAACAAAAATGGTTTTCATGACCCTCTCTGAATACGGGCCCCCCGTTAACACGTACGAACACTTTCTATGCCCCCCTCAGTGTCCGTATTAATTAACGGGGTTTGACTGTTTTAAAATTGGTCCATTTCACGAGTCGTACATTGACAGTGGGGAAGTGTACATAGAAAAGAGTGTTCTGCAAGAGCAGAGTTTTTGGCTTGTAATTAAAATAACGTTCTCGTGGCCAACTCCGTCTTGGTTTCTTAAGCTCCCTAGCGCCCGTTTTCGGCTTGGCTTTGTCGTCGTAGATGCAAAAAATCCTTTGTATGACAAGGCAAATGTTAGGTTATACTACTCAAAAAGAACCAACTGGAGTAACGTATTTACTCGATTAAGCGCCGCCCTCGTTTAAGCGCCGCAGATGAAAGCAGAATTACCAATGAACGCAAACCCTCAAATAATCGCCGCACCCAATTAGAATTAGGGTGTGGTGTTTATTCAAGGACCAATAAACTGTAAGAACAAAACAGTAAAGAACAGAGACTCGAGTATTAGCGATATTTCGAACGGTGACCGTTCTTCTTGGAGGGATTTATTGAAGAAACGGAAAGTTGTCACAAATACTTTTTTTATTATTGACAACAAATGAACAACATTAATACACAGCACAAAGTAAAAGAAGAAATAAATAAGTCAGTAAGTAACAAAACAAATTACAATAAAAAGTATTGAAAGATAAAAAGCCTGTCAGTTGCCACACATATTCAGTATTGTTTGCCACAATTTTCAATGCGATATTGTTCATAAAGCTTACGTAAAAATTCACCTAAATTAGGTTTTCGTTACAATGTTCTTGCAAGCATACAAGTATTTCTTTTGCAGTAAAACCAGTGAGACGAAGTTTGCTTTGAGTTGAATTTGGCATTTGCATTGGAAGGGAGTCATCGAACGTGTTCAATAAAATGTGCTTGTTTGAAAGTTGTATGTTCTCTTTATGCTACAAATATATAAATTTTTTTAAAAAGTTAAAAAGCAGTACAGTTGGAAATTTGATGCGAATAAAAATGTAAAATTTAAAATGAATAGGTCAATGGGAATAAACTTAACAATAAGGTAGTCGTACCTTTATATTTTAACAGGTGTTTAAACATCTTTCTTTCACAAATGATTTATTGTAACTGTTACCAGCGATTTAGGAAATGTGATTTTGAAGTTAACGCCTCATTGAAAAAGATAAAAAAAATTGATAAACGCCGAGGAGTTTTATAATCGGATAAATAACGGCCAGAAAAGAGAAGACCCTGGGAACGAAGACTTATTTTTACTTATTGCCATAGTAACACATTCTAAATATTTCTTTGTGAGTGGACACTTGTTCAGGAGACCAATATAGTGGTGGTTTACCATTCACCACAAATTCCCGGAAATTCCTGTTGGGATGTAAATGGTAAACGTTTTTTTGGTTTGTCCCACTGGAAAATTCCCGGCATAAACGGAAATTTTGAAAAGGTAGTCCAGTTTTCCCGGTACTTGGAACGTTCCCAATGGAAATTCGTTTACCATTTGCAAGTTTCTTGAGTTTCGTACTTGTTTCATATTGTAACTAGAATCCAGTGTAGCGCGGCGCGACAATACGGTAATTTTAGGCAAATGGTAAACAACACGTACCGTCCTTACCGAACGAAAATTCCCAACCGAAATTTCCAGAATTTTGTTATAAATGACAGCCAGTATTCCAATTTACGATAATTTAAATTTTTTCAAGAGACTGGCAAGGTTGTCCACACAACTCTTCGTGTTCGTTGCTTTTCTTGCTCGGAAATTAAAAAGTTTATAACCTGGAACCCAGAAACTGCGAATGTCTTTGCGAGCCACACTACTCTGGATCCTTTCTAAAATGCCCTTGATTCTTTCTCCTAGTTGATCTTTCGTCCAATATGAATCTTCCGGAAATTGAGTCCATTCGTGTAAGAACATTGTTTTTAATACGTACGAATGAAACACCCATGTTATGCTGAAAGATCCCTCGTCGGGCTGTTCAAGGAGAAGTAAGGAATCTTCATTCTCCTTCCGCAATACCTTGAGAACCTTAAGCGTCGCCTTGTGAACGAGGTTCGGACTCTTAAAGATGTGTTTGAGTATAACTCCTTCCGGTATTGAAAAAGATAAACGCCAACATGGCCGATGCTTCCCAGACTCTCCAATGGTAGAAGCCACAAGATGATAACCCTCTGCGACAGCCTTTCTGAATGCTTCATAGCCAGGGTGCCCCCTGTTCACTCGTGTCGATATGTCTGATGCGTCGGGCCATCCTGACATTTTGATGCACAAAGTTAAATCGACGGCTATTTCAAAGTTCGAGTACTCCTTGCCATGCCATGTAACCTTGATCGTTATCGGGATTTTTCTGAGCTGAATATCGACGTATTCATCTAACTCATCCCTGGAAGACCGCTTTCGCTTATCTATGGCTTCCTCGATGAGTTGTTTGAATCTTTTCAAGAGAACATCGGGTTTGAGATTTCCGCGCTTGGAAATGTAGCTTTTCCACCGATTGCGATAAACTGCGTTGGACACCTGAACATCTACGTAGCCGGGATCGGGGACCGGTCTCATGGGAATATCCTTCGTAACACAAACACCAGGAGAGGAAAGCTGCTCTAAACAAATCATAAAATCGAATTCATCGGGTCCTTCGACTTTAAGATCTTCATAAAAACTTCCGCTGGGGATTACAAAGTTTTTAAAAAGTGGATCCTTGCGGCCTATATAGACAGAGATTTCGTCAACTAAACTTCTAATTCTTTTCTCGATTTTCTTTACCTCTTTGTGCTCTCTATCAAACTCCGCTTTTTTGTAAAGGCGTTGTAATTCATCGTCCCCGAAGTTGCGCTTCATTTTGAGTCACGTACAAAACGTAAGGTAACGATCGCTTCCGGGTATATATTGTTGAGCCGGCAGTCAATTTTACAAGCAGCCGTTGCAAATAGCCAGAAGCTTCTTGAAGTAACAGTCATTTGGCCATGACACAAGCACCCAGCCGCCGTCGTTATGGCTTGATCAATAGATTGAGCAATAGCACAGGGTCCAGAGGAGTTTCGTGTAAATAAATGAATTACTTATTTAAAGTTTCACCTTAAAAAATGTCTATACTTGTCGCTTAGAACGATTAATAAACCCAATGGGATCTTTATAAATCTACTGTAAACGATTTCTTCGCTTCTCAGTCTCTTGGTTTGCGGTATATAGAATGTGTAACGAAACTGTAACGAGATTACAATAACCCATTTTTTCAGAGGTTTTCGACGGGTTTTGATGTTTTAACGACAAACACATCTCCTCTGGACCCTGTGTCAATAGAGAGCTTTCAGTCTTCGTACCCAGGCCAGTTTACGCTATCCAAGTGACCAGAGGCGGCTTGAAACCGAGCGCGAAATTTCCCCGACAAGCTTGACAGAAGACGTCACGCACATCCCGAAATCGCCGAGGACGATTGGTAACGAGGTTAGAGAGCTTTAGATTCTCAGACGAGGATGACTGCAAGAACAAGACTTTCCCAATTCTAAGTAGTGCGTGCGCGCACGAGCACGAACCAACGTCATTTTGGGGGGAAAACGTAATAGCCATCGTCTTTTTACTACGAGTTTTAGCGAGAATGTCGTAGTGGCAAAAACAAATTATCAAATGTTTAAAACGAATTTTATCATTTAGCGATCGGGAGAGGGCTTTACATCCTTCGACGGAATTTAGCGTGCTAACTTTTGTGGTGAAAAAATTACAATGAAGCTTCCCGAGTTGTCTATTTTTAGAGAATAGGCGAGCAACGTAAAATAAATGTTGTCCTCGTCTTCGAATCCAAAGCTCTCTACTTTTACACGTACCTTTTGGCCTACCTATGCCAGGCATTTGTCAGGCATGCGTCATTAATTCCTCAATAATAATGTAGAAAAGGTTTCATTTAGTTGGACGAGCAGTTTAATACCTTAAAACCATAGGGCCGGTTATTTAAACAAGGTCTAACTTAGACCGCGGTTTAGGACATCTTTGGACGAATAGATCTCTTCCTTAGTAAGGCATTTTAAGAGGGTGCGAATAGGGTTTACAGTTAATTGATAATTGGCAAAAAAATTAGCAGTTAACGGATAGTTGGCCAAAAAAATAGTAGTTACCGGTAACTGAGAATTAGCTAAAACATTAGTAGTTAACTGATAATTGGGTACCCCCATTGGAACCCCTTGTATAGTTGCTGAACAATTTCAATTTACTCGTTGTCTATGCTAAAGTTCATGTCAAGCGATTTCCTTGGGTGTTTTTGAAATATCATTATTTTTGTTTTCTTCGGATTAATTTATAACATCCATGTTTCGCAATAAGAATGAAGCGTGTTTAAACAGTTTTGCAATCAAGTAGTAGTAGTGGTAGTAGTAGTGGTGGTGATGGTGGTGGTGGTGGTGGTGGTGGTGGTGGTAGTAGTAGTAGTAGTAGTAGTAGTTTTGAGTAGTAGGCCTATCAGAGACAAAATCAATATGCTAAGAATCTTTGCACGCAACACATTAAAGTAAACTGTCTCTATCTAGTCTATGTCTAGTTTGATTAATTTGACTGAGACACCTCTTCCTGACTTTCTTCATCAAAATGCGCAAATGGAACGATGCGTTGATGACGAGTCACCTTTCTGCAGTAGGTCTTGGAGGTCTTTACGTAACCAAATGGATCTTTTGTGAATTCGCCAAATAAACTTTGGTTCACATATTTGGCAGGTGCCTCCTGTTGGATGATTTTAATAAACTCTTGCCAAGCTCTTCTAGTTCCTCTAAGCGATCTTGGATAACTGCGATGTAGTGAGTTCTCAATGGTCACTGGAAAAAACAGGAGCGCTTGTCCACGAAATTTCAGCTCCACTGCTGAACAGACATATTTGTCGGTAAGCCACCAGGTCAGTCTTTCGTGTATGGTATCAAGTGGGAAAATGTGGCGAGCGGCGCGCGCGTGAAAAGCGTTAAACACAGGGTCATAGAAGATCGTTGGATTGGCCAGAGAGGTGGTGTTGCTAATTCCACAGTTGGTTTTCATCTTGTTTCGAACGTTCTGCCCTTCTTTTCGCAGCTCATAGTCAACAACACCAACTGCTGGTTCATAATCCAAAAGCCATTCTTGGAAAATTCGAATTGGCGAAAAATGTTTCATATACGGGGTAGCAGCACTGTTAAACTTAAGAGACACATCGTCGTCAGTGAATATGAAGTATGTATAGCCTGGCCTTCTGTTCATTGCAAGAAAAAACAGCTTATTTCGCCCCGAGCCCCAAGTAGTTGTATTGTCAAATAAATACGTTACATGGGGCGGTTTCTCCTTCAGACATTTTCTCTTATAGCTCAACACTATCACATCGCATCGACATGTCATATCAGTGGACAGCTTCAGATGATAAAGCAGCATCGGTGGGAGACACTGTTCTGTCTGCGTAAGAAAAACAAATGTTCGAGAAACAATTTCTTTTTCCGTCCAATTCGTGTCAGTCCGATACTGAAGCAGACGTGTTAGATCGTGTAGATCGAAGAGATTAGTTCTCATTCTGAAGCAGGCAATAATACATGTCACAACTATGAATATAAAAGCTAAGAAGTGGCGAAAACGTTTTTTCATACTTAACATGGCGGGCGTGCGGTGCAATAGTGTGAAAGTTAAGTTTAGACAAGGCTGAAGTGATACTGACATTTAAAACGTTTCCATAGGATTCTGCTAACCCGACGGGCAAGAATTTTACCTCTGTTAAGAACCCCTTAGATCTATTCACTGAAAATAAAGCGTTGCTGAATTTTCCATTGTCTCCTTCAGACATTTTCTCTTATAGCTCAACACTATCACATCGCATCGACATTTTTCATCCAACTGAATCCATGTGTTGGAAGTGATTGTGACATTGCCCATCCATAAAGATTATTTGCATCAAGATATTGGATATAAGTAGACTCCTTATCAGGATTATAATCTTTCATATATTTGTTATTTGCTTCTGCATATCTCTTTGATATGTGAGATATTCCACCTCTTATCCCTCGCTCAAACATCATCAACATATCATAATCATGTAATAGTTGTAATTCTTGACCTGTTTCTTTGAGACATGCATCCCAAGCCAGACCAGGAGTGGTGTAATAATGTGCTGGATCCAGATTGTAATGATGAAGACAAGTTTTTCTAAAGTTTTCAAATACATCTGATAAAATTAGGACATCAGACTTTAGATAAAGATTATGATAATCTCTTATTGTTTTACATTTGAAAGTATTCCAAATATTTATAGCATGTTGGTAATCATCATCAGTTATTTCTTCATCATTTAGTTTTGAATAGAACTCTTCTTTTGCTGGTAATTGTGTTTCTGATAGTTTTTCGAGTGATGAAACATAGTCATATGGATAAACTCCCTTACGAGTTAATAGATCTACATTTTCCTTAAATATTTCTTTTGTATCTGGTTGTAAATTACCCACTAGATTAGCAAGACTTGTTTGAAGAAACTTGAATGAATCTATAAATCGTATTTCGAAATATAATGGAATAGTCTCTCCATTGCGTCTAGATTTATACTCCTCAACCTTAATCTTTTTGGAAAAGGAAATATACTTTTCTTCCGTAGATGGAATACAGTTTAACTCACCTGGTAAACAAGCAAGTTGTTTTATAAATAAATGTGCATCATATCCTTGAAGATTGTGAAATATAACTGGAAGAATCATTGGTTTTCGACACTGGAGATTGCAACTGTTATGAGCAGCCCTACGGTACTGGCCAGTAAAATGACAATGATCTCTAACTTTGTCAGACAGTAATTCTTTCTTACAAATATGACATGTTTCCGCTTTATCAAAGGATATTTGTCCTTGTCTTGTTAGACGAAGAGGTATTGGTCGACGATAAAAATCATTATATATCTTATTAGTTACTTTTGCAATTTTAGAAACAAATATCTCAGCGACATTATAATTGGTTTAAATGTTATATTAGGATCTATTCCTTTAATGTAAAAACAAAATCCTGATGGTTCATGCTTTTGGTAATTGTAAGTATATGATTCTTTTGGGTTAGGACTACAAGTATTCATTGGTTTGGTAAAACATTCAAAATCTGCATAAACTACAAAAGGAATTGGCAACTGTTTGTGGTAATTTTTAAAACCCAACATCGTTTTTTCTTTTGGCATTTTTACAGAAACTGTTTCATTATTTGAACAATATAAGATATGTTTTTGTAATAATTCATACTTAGTAAAATGAGTAAAACATTTTTTACAAATATAAAATGAACCATTCTTACTTGCAGTTTTTTGCGTCTTAATCAAACGAGTAAAGTCTTTAATTAGTGAATAATGTGAAACACCATCTTCTTCATACAAAAATAAATCAATAGTATTTAAACAATCTCTCTCTGCCATTCTCAAAGGATAAAACTTTTTACTTTCATTAACTGAGAAAACATTGATTCCTGGAATAGATGGATTAAGTTTTTCAAATTTGGAAATATCTTTTAATTTCATAGGAAAATCAATTCCCTTGGTGTTAAGTGAAAACTCATACTTTTTTAAATCTGCTAGTCTTTCTTCATGTATTTCTTTTGGTTGAAGATATCTCAGTACACACCAAATAAAACATTTCTCATCTTTGTTTTGAATATTAACAATTGCTTTTTTATTTGATATCCAATCTGGAAGAGGAATGTAAGATGATCCCTTCGCTGGATTAAACTCAACAATATGAATTTCAAGTTGAACCACTTCTTTAAAATACCATCCACTTCCATTTTTTTGAAATATCTCTAAATCTTCAATAATTTTTTTAACACACTTATCAATTAATTTCTCTACATCTGTTGATTCAAGATTAATATTTGTTCCTGAATTAAAGTATGCTTTATCTTCATTTAATCCAACAACTCCCTTATCTTTACTAATTATTTGTTGTTCCATTAAACAAACCAAAACCATACTAAATTTAATATTTCGATGATATGTAAAAAAATCTTCTAAAGTTTTATAAACTTTATTAAAATATTCAACTGGAGTAAGACCAGGATCTCCTTTAAATATATACTTAACAGCAAAGTTTTCAAAAGCTGATTTTTCTTTTACAAGTCCTTGATGATATTCCTTAATAGCTCTCTCAAGAGCTTCACGAAAATAAGGAGGAGTATCTGCGGGGAATTCTTTATTTTCTATACATTCCTGAAAATACTCATCGAATGATTTTATCTTTTTAATTTTAGAAGGACTCACCGTTTTGGTTGGGGGGTATCTTTTTGGTTTTGGATTTCTTTTTCCTTTCTTTTTTTATATCTATACCTTGTTTTACTTTCTCATTAAGTTTATCTACTTTTCTAATATCACGAATTATTTTTTCTTTTTCACTTAATTCTTTATAATTATCCTTAAGTCCTTGTTTCTTCTGGTTTAATATATATCTTAATTGATCCAAAGATAAACTCTTATACTCTTTATCGCTTATAAAGGGTTGAGAACCCTGAAAACCATCAACTGATTGGTTAGAGATGACGTCTTAT